TTTCTGAGACTTGTCATTAAAAAGGGACGGAAAAATAGCAAATAAAAAAAAAAAAAAAGAAAAGCAAGGGGGTAACATCAAAGGAGTTATTTTAATGAGTGAGTGCATCATACGGTTGGAATCATAATCTGAAGTTTTCCAAAAGCCCATCTGTATGTTATACAACTTCCAGGATTCCTGTTAAATTCTGCTCCGGAGGGATTTTCTTTATTATTATTTTTTAATGGTCACTGAGATATCCAGGAGGAAATCTGGGAGTGATAAATTCACAGGACTATTTGTGGATATTTTCCCCCACATTCGTTTTGACCTACCCACACTCGATAGGACTTTGACCACAAAGCCCCTCCCATAGCCCGTGTGTCTTCCCTTGCCTTCGCCACACAGTCTTGCAGTCGGCCTTCTGTTCCCATGGCTCTCCTTCCTTGTCCTTTGAAGACTCCTTTCCCTCTACCCCATCCCATAAGGCTACTCAGGGATGTCAGAAAAATCCCATTTTCTGACATACGCTCTATCCATAGTTGGCATTGCTCATCCCTAGGGCTTCTGCCGCTCTCTCCACGACAATTCTCAGATCTCCATCAGTCCCAGATTGTTCCAGGGCTCTAGGCACAGACATGCAGTTGCCTACTGGACATGTCTACTTAGTTGTCTCGTGGGTTTCTCCACTTAGACATGGCAAGAACAACTCCCCCCCCCACCTTGTCCTCATCAAAACTGTCTCTTACATTGTGTTCTCTATCATAGCAATCGGCGCCACCATCCACACACATGCCCTAAGACCCTGAGAATCATCACCGATTCCTCGTTGTCCTTCCCTTTCTGTGTACAATCCACCATCCACTTTTTAATTCTACCTCTTATGCATGTCTCAAATGTCTACTTCCCTTCATGTCCGTTGCTATCACCCCAGACTCTGCTACCATAATCTCTCGCCTAAACCACTGCATAATATGGTGTACAAGGCCTTTGATGCCATGAGCCTACACTACCTTTCAAGACACCTTTCATCATTTTCTCGATTGTACTCTATGCTCCAAGCATTTTACATTCCCTTCAGTCCTTTCTATGAGCCATTTTCACATTTGCCTTAGGCCGTTGCATAAATAATTCCCCCTGCCTAGAATAACCTCTTCATCCCTCACACTCTCTCCACCTTTCTCGTTCTTCTTCTACCATCTTTCATTATTTAGTCTTAAATAATAAGACTAAATTATTTAATAAATTAATTTAAATAATTAAATTAGTTTACACATCTCTTCCTCAAAGAGAACATCGCTGCCTTAGGCCAGCTTAGGACTTTCTATTTTATGTTCTCGTAATCACCTAAACTTCTGCCTTTATAACACACTTATATTGGTCACTCTTGTTTAAATGTCCCTATTGCCAGTGAGATTACTTCATCAAACACATCACATGTATTATTAGTCACATTTTTTTTTCCTGTAGATGATTTCTAGGAATCCTCTGTTCTCCTGTACAAACCAGAGCTGCCCATTTGCTAAACCTTCTATAGAGCTATCAATCTGAGTTAGCTTCAATACCTTCTTTCTTTGGTGGGGTTTCTGTTTGCTGGATTCTGTATGTTTTCTTTGTTGCTTGGTTGGTGAAATTCATCCTCCAGGAACTTCATGAGAACGGATGCACGCATAGAAAGTTAATTTTTTTGAAACCTTGCATACTTAAAAGTGTCTTTAGTCTGTCTTTGACTTTCATGTATACTTTGGCTGTGTATAGGAGTCTATGCTGAAAATTATTTGCCTTCTGAATGTAAATACATCTCTGCAGAGTCTTCTAGTGTCAAGGCTGATCTGGAGAATTGTAACCTATTTTTGATTCCCGATTATTTGTAGAGGATCTATGTTTGTTTCTCTGGATCTGGAAGCTTTTAGAATCCCTTTCATCATTCCTAGAGTTCTGAAATCTCATGACGATATGTTATGCTGGAGGCTTTTTTTTCACCATTGTGCTGAGTGGGTGCTTCCAATCAGAAAATGCACATCCTTCACCTCTGGGACATTTTCGTATATTTCTTTTGTATTTTCTTCCCCACTGTTTTCTCTGTCTTCTCTTTCTGATTAAGTGTTGGAGTTTCAGGCTGGGTGTGGTGGTTCATGCTTGTAATCCTTGTACTTTGGGAGGCCCAAGTGGGTGGATCACCCGAGCCCAGGAATTCAAGACCAGCATGGGCAACATGGTGAAACCCTGTCTCTACTAAAAATTCAAAAAATATTAGCTGGGCCTGGTGGTGCATGCTTATAGTCCTAGCTACTCGGGAGGCTGAGGTGGGAGGATAGCTTGAGCCTGGGGGACAGAGGTTGCAGTGAGCCTTGATCACACCGCTGTACCCCATCTTGGGCTATGATCAAGAAAAAAAGGAGTTCCTAGATCAATTAATTTTTTAATATTTTCTGTCCTATTGTCCATTTCTATGTCTGTTGTAGTTTTTTTTTTCTGAGAGATTGTATTGATTTTTATCTTTCTGTCATTTTATTGAATTTATTTTGGATCTAGGTTTTTATTGGTTCATTTTTCTCTTCAGAATAAACTTTTTGCTCCTGTTGGTATTGGGAAGTCCTAGGCAACATGCGTACAGAGACATTGGGGTCTACTGTTCCTTAAGCAGAGCTTTGACCAGTCACCACTCCCTGCCTTGGGGGTACCTGGTGCGTCCAACTCCTGAGCCTTTCTGAGATTTTTATAGTATGAGTTGGCTTGTTTCTCTCTACCATCTTCCACTGTGAACAGTTGATAGCAGCCACACAGCTTTGCTGACTCCATCGTACACTGTCCATCTTCCAAGATATTCATCAACATTCCTCACACACTACTATATTCATGACTATTTTCATTAACCTGTGGTTTTATACATTTTTAAAAATTCATTCATTGTTATTTTAGTGGCATTTCAGAAGTGGATAAATATATGTTTATATTCAATTTTCCATGTATGAATCACAATTTAGTAATTCTTTACTAAAGATTTCACCAGGTCATCTGATTACTATTCCTGGAGGAGTAGTCTCACTTTGAGTTCTGGTTCTAGACTTCCCTCACTTTCCTTTCTTCTTTTCTTCTCTCTCTCTCTTTGTTTTTTCCTCTATCCTCTCCTTCTTTTCTGACTCACAGACAGGATCTTAACCAGTCCACACTATTTAGCTTCAGAATCTGTGGGCTCCATCTAGTTTTTCTCGATTTCTTATTATCACAGAATTATTGCTTACTTTTTTCTTATGATTTTTTTACTACTGTTTCTAAATAATTTCAGCCCACTCTTTAAATCCTTCTGTGATAAAGATGATAGTAGGGACAATGATAGATATATTTATCTATCTTTATCTTGATAAATGTCTATCAGAGCATGTATCTTGGTACACACTCTTAACAGGTATCAAGCCCTAAATGAAGCATGCTGTATAGATTATGTCTTTTAACTCACCCTATGGGCAAATTCATGTTTATTTCTCCATTTTAAAGATAAAACTAAAGCTTATAGAGTTGTAATAACTTGCCCATGGACATATAGTTGGTAAGTTGTGAAATCTGGTTTTATACAATTTCTCACACCAGAGATGAGACTTGTATCCACTATACTCTACTACGTCCTCTTGATGGGAATTGATATTAGACCAGAAACTGATCAAAATGTTATTTTGAACTATTAGATTTTCATTAGTTGTTAGAGGCACTTTCAAACAAGGATTGGATGCCTAATCATACCAGGAGTGCTCATCTGGAAATGTCTACACAAGGGTTGGGTGGTCTTGGGTGAAGAATGTTGGGGGACATGGGGAGGTTCCTACATCTAGATGAAGCATGGACTTCAAAATCCCATTTAAACTCTTCAAGTCTATGATTCTGACCATTTTGCTGTTAGGTCTCCCAACTATTAGGTTGCTGCTTAAAGTAATTGCAGTTTTTGCCATTAAAAAGTAATTGCAAAAACCGCAATTCTGTTCCCTATACATTGCACATCAATGGGAAGTATGAAATAACTCTACCCTAAGGTGTATTTTAACATTCAGTATTAAAAATAATAATAGGTATCATCTATTCAATGCTCACTATGTCCAGATATTGTGCTAAGGACTGTATAAACATTGTTTCACTTAATTCTTATGTCAACCCTGATAAATCGGGCCATTATCATCATTCTAGACCAAAAAAATCCTGAATGTGTTGTCTTAGTCTGCTCAGGCTGCTGTAACAAAATGCCCTAGGCTTAACTAATAGAAATTTATTTTCTCATAGTTCTAGAGGCTGAAAGGTTCAAGATCAAGGTCAAAAAGGGTTGAATTTCTGATGAGGGCTCTTCCTGGCTTACAGGTAGCTGCCTTTTCACTGTGTCCTCAGATGTTGATGAGGTATCTCTTTCTCTCTTCCTCTACTCATAAAGCCACCAATCCTATTGGATTACAACCCCACCTTTTTGACCTCACTTAATCTAAATTATCTCCTAAAAGTCATATCTCCAAATACAGTCACACTGGGGATTAGAGCTTCAACAAATGAATTTCAGCGGACATCATTCAGTCCATAGCAGTGGTAGACAATGCTTAGCTTGGCTTTAATGGAAAGATGATGCTATTAATGTTATTGAGACTTGAAAAATGTTTCACCTGGGAGGAGAACAGCCCTGTGTTCCCCCATGAAGAGGGTGAATAGATCACCTGTTGGATAATAGGACTGGCGCTGTCTCAGCATTGGCAGGAAGGGCCAACTCTCTTGTTGCTTTTCAAACAGCAGGAAGAATTCAAAAGGTTTTTGGGCTTTGAAGAAACCTGATCCTTTGTGGAGGGAGTCTGCATGATCTTGATAAAGGACTTCCTCAGGTTGTCTTTAGGAGAAACGTAGTCTCTTTAGTGTCTCTCTATCTCTACTTGTTTTTGGATCAGAGATGGCTTTAGTGTCAAACCTTTGTGTTCTTTTTCTTTTTTCTGTCTGCAAAACCAACCCTATTCTCCAGAGGCTTTTTGTAACTTAATCCATTTCTTTTCCAGGAAGCTAAAGAAACTATTTCGAAAGCTGAAAGATGAGACAGAAGCTGGAGAAACTGACTCTGCCCATTCGAAACATCCAGAGCAGTGGGACCTAGACTACAGCTTGGAACCATACACAGGACTGACTCCGGAGTACATGGAAATGAGTGAGAACCCATGGTCCTGCCTTCTGCTGGGGGCAGGTTCAGACAAGGGGTTAGTGGGGTTGAGGGGAGAAGGTAGGGGATTGGGGAAAATGACTGGACAGCCTTTGCTTCTTCATGAGCTTCATGGCTATTCAGTGTTCCCTTCAGTGCCACATGAAAGTTGAGAAGAATGGGGCAGAAAGAGACCTGGAAGGAGAACCTGGAGCAGCTCAGTCAACAGTTTGGTGGATAATTCTAGGATGATGTTCTCTTTCCCTTGGGACTCCTCTCCTCATCTATAAACTGAAGTTCGATCTCTCAGGCCCTTCCATGGTTTCTATTATTGATAAAGCTAAAAGGGAAATAGTAAAATCTGAAATTTAAAAATATAGTTTCCATGAAAGTCTTCCTTCATGGAAGATATCCGATGACACTTGGGTCAAGGATATCTACATTTTGACTCGGAGAATATAGGAGAGTCCCCTACTTTGATCAGATAAGGCTGGATAAGATGACAGCTTTTTAACAAAAAGTTGGGTCTATTTCAGTAGGGAGTGAGAAGTGTATTTCTAGTTGCAGCGCCTCTGGTTGTTTTGGATAAGGCTTGAAGGCGGGACACAAATCAGTACAGGCTGATGGAACACAATCATTTTAGATGTGGCTTGGAAACCATGAGTTCTTTATTATGAGAAGGATCCCAGCTTAGGCCAGGTGCCTTTGCACTCTTGGCTACTTGACTATAATTCTGATCATCTATTGGGATGGATGTTTGAGAAGCCTCTTTCCAAGACTTGGAGCTAATGAATTAAAAGCATAGGACATCTAGAGCTTAGGTATAAGCCGGGCACAGTGGCTCACCCTGTCATCCCAGAACTTTGGGAGGCAGAGGCAGGTGGATCACCTGAGGTCAGGAGTTTGAGATCAATCTGGCCAACATGGTGAAACCCCATCTTTACTAAAAATACAAAAATTAGCCAGGAATGGTGGCAGGCACCTGTAATCCCAGCTACTTGGGAGGCTGAGGCACGAGAATTGCTTGAGCCTGCGAGACGGAGCTTGCAGTGAGCTGAGATTGTGTCACCCTACTCCAGCCTGGCCTACAGAGTGAGAGTCTGTCTCAAAAAAGTAAAATTAAATAAATAAATATCTTAGCTATAACATCTAAACACTCTGAACATTTACTCACTCTGAACATTTACTCAATCTATGGATTATGGGGAACCATCAGTAAGATCCATCAAAAAAATCACTCAATGTTTAATTCAATACTTAGCATCATTGCACCTATCATTGTGTTTGCGTACAACTCCTGCTCCCTTCACCTAGTCACTTGTAGCAGAGGGCCGTCAGTGCCTTTTTGTGCACAGGATACCTCACTCATCATTTCTTTTTTTTTTTTTATACTTTAAGGTCTAGGGTACATTTGCACAACGTGCAGGTTTGTTACAAATGTATACATGTGCCATGTTGGTGTGCTACACCCATTAACTCGTCATTTACATTAGCTATATCTCCTAAAGCTATCCCTCCCCACCCCCTCCCCACAATAGGACCCGGTGTGTGATGTTCCCCTTCCTGTGTCCAAGTGATCTCATTGTTCAATTCCCACCTATGAGTGAGAACATGAGGTGTTTGGTTTTCTGTTCTTGCGATAGTTTGCTGAGAATGATGGTTTCCAGCTGCATCCATGTCCCTACAAAGGACACGAACTCATCCTTTTTTATGGCTGCATAGTATTTCATGGTGTCTATGTGCCACATTTTCTTAATCCAGTCTGTCACTGATGGACATTTGGGTTGGTTCCAAGTCTTTGCTGTTGTGAATAGTGCTGCAGTAAACATACATGTGCATGTGTCTTTATAGCAGCATGACTTATAATCCTTTGTGTATATCTCCAGTAATGGGATCGCTGGGTCAAATGGTATTTCTAGTTCTAGATCCTTGAGGAATCGCCACACTCTTTTCCACAGTGGTTGAACTAGTTTACACTCCCACCAACATGGTAAAAGTGTTCCTATTTCTCCACATCCTCTCCAGCACCTGTTGTTTCCTGATTTTTTAATGATTGCCATTCTAACTGGTGTGAGATGGTATCTCATTGTGGTTTTGATTTGCATTTCTCTGATGGCGAGTGATGATGAGCATTTTTTCATGTGTCTGTTGGCTGCATAAATGTCTTCTTTTGAGAAGTGCCTGTTCATATCCTTTGCCCACTTTTTGATGGGGTTGTTTGTTTTTTTCTTGTAAATTTGATTGAGTTCTTCATAGGTTCTGGATATTAGCTCTTTGTCAGGTAAGTAGATTGCAAAAATTTTCTCCCATTCTGTAGGTTGCCTGTTCACTCTGAGGGTAGTTTCTTTTGCTGTGCAGATGGGATCTAATTAAACTAAAGAGCTCTTCACTCATCATTTCTAATGGATGTTCCTCCTATTCTGTTATAAGAAATTGCATGTGTATGTTAGCAGTGGAGTAATGGGCAGGGTCTAGATCAGATGGCCATGAAAATGTTGTCCTAGCCCTGGGATGTCTACCATTCTAGGCAAAGTCTCAAGCTTTGTAATCTGAAGCAACTCACCAGAGAAGAAACAATCATTATGTCTGCTTCAGAAACAATAGATAAAGAAAACATCAAGACCTGGTTTAAGGAAACGTGTAACGCCTTTATGCTTTTCATGTTTGGCTAAGAACTACCTCTAATCCCTCCCTCTCTGATGCTGTATTTACGCAAAGGTGATTGCTCATATTTCAGACGCCATTCTACATCTGCCATCGTCTCACCCAGAAAGAAAGAAAGTGCTGCCAGAGATTGGGACTTCCGTTTGGGAAAGGGCTTACATTAGGAACCCCTGAGATCTGTCTGTCTCCGCCCTCTGACCCCAGTGGTCACACCTCCACGGCCACCAGTTAGCTGTGTGGGTTTCACATGCTTGTCAGCCTGTCTGTTCAGCTATTTGAAAGCTTTCTCTTTTGAGTGATTAGAGCAGAGACCCTAAATTTTTCTAGTTTATGTACATAGAGGTGTTCATAATAGCAAAGAATGCATTCTACCTAAATGCTCGTCAATGATAGGCTGGGTAAAGAAAACATAGTACACTGTGAACTACCACGCAGCCATGAAAAACAATGAGTTCACGTCCTTTGAAGGAACATGGATGGAGGTGGAGGCCATTATCTTTAGCATACTAATACAGGAACAGAAAACCAAATACCAGATGTTTTCACTTTTAAGTGGGACCTAAACCATGAGAACACATTGACACACAGAGGGGAACAGCACACACTGGGGCCCTTCAGAGGGTGGAGGATGAAAAGAGGGAGAGGATCAGGTAAAGGAACTAACGGGTACTAGGCTTAATACCTGGGTGATGAAGTAATCTGTACAACAAACCCCCATGACATGAGTTTACCTATGTAACAAACCTGCACTTGCACCCATGAACTTGAAAGTTATAAAAAGAGAAATACATTAAAATACAACAAAGAGGAGCAAAGACCCTTGAACCATACTTCCTGGGCTCAAATCCCAGCTTTTGACCAACTAGCTAGATAACCATGTGTAAGTTATCCACTTGCCCTTATCAAGACCCCTATGTGTCTCAATTTGTTTGCCTATTAAAAAAGATAATAATATCCACCTCATAGGATTGTTGTGGATAGTGAATGAATTAGTATCTGTGAGTAGAAGAGGGTCTTAGTGCTTAGTGCTAATGTAGTTCTTAGAAGAGGGCCTAACACATACAAAAGCTGTGTATTAAGTGTCTGGTGTTATTCCTCTTAATGGTCCTGAACCCTGAGGAAGGCAGAGTTAGGGAAATATGCTCTACTTTGTCAGGGCTATGCCATTGAATACGTATCTACTGTATTATTATGTGTTTAAACTTGGGTGCTTACCAAGAAATGAGAAGAGTGAAAAGAAAAGTGGCGCTAGAAGATTTACTTGGTGATTTTGGGAAGGAATTCACACCAAGATTGTAGAGAGTGAGATTCAGACCATAAACTGAAAAATCAGAAACAAAAGCAAACCCCAAACCCCACTCCTTAAAATGAATAAAACAATCTTATACCTGGAATATTGAAAACAGAAAAGAAGAGAACATATCTCCCAAATCCAACCTTGTAAATTTTTTTTTTTTTAGCATTTTGGTGCTGTTTCTTAGACTCTTTTTGTTATGTACATGAATTTAAAAATAAAATTGTGATCTTACACATTTATTTTTTTATTTCCCATTATATGAATAAATATTTTAAGTTGTCACATAACATTCAAAATGAATAGCTGTGTAGTAATCCCCCTTTTTTTTTTTTTGACTTTTTAATTATGGTTAAGAATAGATTTTTTTTAACACATGGTGTTGGGACAAATTATTTACCGTTTGGAGGGGGGAATAACCTGATCCTTATCTCACCTCCATCCAAATAAATTCTAGATGGATAAGGAAGTTTAGTCTATTAGATTTTAGATGAACAGGAAAAAAACGTGGATGAATATGTACCTGACTTTGGAGTAAGGAAAGTATTTCTAAGCACTCTTTTCTTTAGAAAGAAGAAAGCACGAAGAAAAAGAATAACTAATCTAAAGTAATCCCTTTAATAAGCGTGCCATAGTTCACTTACCTGTCTTCCAGTGGAGGCTTATTTAACAATTCTCCCGTATTTTAATCCTCTCATAAACACTGTCTTTGTGCATATAGTCTTTTATTTAGGGTATTATTTCATCCAGATAGATTCACATAGGTGTGATTAGGTATAGTCATTGTATGGTTCCTGATTCATTTTACCAAATTACTTTCTGAAAGAGTAAGAACAATTCACCTAGCCTTGAGCAATATATGAAAATACCCTTTCAGTGAGTGTAAATCACTTAATATCCTGAATCCTGAAGTCATGTGATATGAAAGAATTATCAGCGTATAGGAAGCTGGAGATTCCCAGCCCCCTACGCCTGGGAGGTTAACTCCATTCCACGCTGTTAACCTGAATATTCCAGACTCATCCTTAGCTTAGTTTTACATGGTGCTTCC